TCGATCCAACTGGAAAAACAACCACCGATTCGAAGCCATACGCTGGTACAAATACCTGTAACAAATCATGAAAATTAGGTGTTGATAGAAAAATTTGATTTTTTGAAAAAAAAAGAAAAAAGAAAAAAGAAGGGGAAAAAGCTACTTGCAACAAATCGTGAAAATTGAGTGTTGTTAGCAAAATTTGGTTTTTCAAAAAAAAAAGGAAAAAAGGAGAAAAGCCAAGCGTCCTGCAGTGCTGTTGGTTTTTATTCGTCCTTTGGTACTATAATTTCAGTTGACAAAGCAGATAATTTTAAGGGTACAAAAAAACTCTCAACAAGTAGCTGGAAAATAAATGAAGTTTTTTCGAGAAAACTTTGCGGAAATTTGAATTTTTACTCAACGCTGCAAAAAAAAAAACAATTTCAGCGGGATTTTTGCGATGAGAAAACGATGTAATTTCGGTAGGATAAAGAAGAGAATTTTGGGAAGGTGTTTCTTTATCTTTATCCCGCCAAAATTACGTCTTTTTCTCCCGCAAAAAGCGGGGCGGAAGGTGGGGACAGGAAGCGGGGCGGGGGAGGGGGGAGGGGGAAATACAGTGCATTAATATATCTCATTCCTTCTTATTAACCAGCTATAACCATCAGTAACAATGGGAAAAAAAAGTTATTAGAAACTGACATTCACATACAACGTATGTGACTGCACAGCATAGTAATTTTGGCTACTTTGCATGTACTATTTTGGAAAATCTTTCAATTTTAATCTTTTTTTTTTTTGCTCTTTTCAACTGGAATATCGTTATAACTATTTCGCGAGCATGAAAAAAAAGGATTATTGCTGTATCACGACTCACTCCCCCGCAAATCGTGTAATGGCGTGAAAGCGGCCTATATAAGGTCGTCGTGTTTGTACTGTAAAGTCGTGTAGATTTAGTGGAGTGTTGATCCAGTGTAGTGCTGTGGTATGGTGTACGACTCATGAGGGGCGTGGACCCGGCTGCTACTACGAATTATCGCCGAGGAGCCGACGATTCGACTCGATACGCTGAAGCACCGGGCCAGTCGAAGGAACGCCCAGCCAGTAAACCCAACATTATTATTGGTAGCAAACTGGCCAAAATACCTGAATGCCGTTCTTGCGTATTCCCATAACAAAACCATCGTGTAGCTCGGTACGCCCTTTGAAATACAGTAATGTATTTAGCAAAACCGATGCTCTGCCTGCATACTGTGCTTGTTTATGCCTGAAAAAGCATAAAAATCTCAAACCACAAACAAAAAAATATGAGTGAAACCACAACTCAACTGAAGAATTTATTCAAAATTGCTTCCTAAATGAGACAAACGTGGTTTCAAGCTTTTTTTTTAAATAAATATCATTGAGAAATTAAAGAGGAGGCCTCCAAAGAAAGATAAACTGGACATGTTCCTGGTAGACATGACAGCAAGCAGCGCCGCTTTCAAGCTGATGAGATGGACGGTTCGTACCCTTTGAGTTTGTTCATTTATCGCATATATGAACCATGCGCTCAATTTATTAAAGCATTTGTGGAGATCATTTAGAATGACAGTAGGAAACTTCAAAAGAAAAAGTCAAGTAAATGTTTTTGATGTGTGATGTGAGGTATTACGGGGTCGTCGTGACTAGGCAAGATGAAGCGCGAAGCGTGGGTTTTATAATAATGTTTATCTAAACTTGGCTAAAAAAAAATATATAAGTTGAACATGACAATTAGAAAGACCTGATCGAAGACCGGTAAAATAGGTGGGAGACGAAGTTGGGCCGTACAGGGGAAGACGATTTGTTCTGGATGTTGAGTCGAGCGATCCGTGTCGAAGTCCCCGAGCTGATTCTGTCGGAATCCAAAAAGCCCGGGAATGAAGAAAACCAGGAGTTATATAGGGGGGATTGGCCCTGCCCCTGAGAGGAGGTTCCCAACATGTTTACCTCCTTTGTATCCAGCTTAGTCGCTGGATACAAAAATACATTAATCACTTTATCAAAGTACACGTCAGCACTGGCTTTTGTTTTTGTACAAAATCCCATGGGGTATAGGGTTGGGTCACGGTATGGATGGGAAAAAAGAAAAAGGGAAACAAGGGAGAATTTTGAAAAATGGTTTTGTTGTTGTAGAAGCTAAAAATGAATGAGTAATATTCACAGTCGGAAAGATTTGTTTTCACCACAAATGCGTTCCTTAATAAAGAAAGTGTGTTTTCAGTTAATTTTATGTTCACTTTAAATCCGAATGCCTAGAAATATTAACTAAATAAGGAAAAACGCAAAGAAGCTATACCTGTAATTGAGATTATTAGCAATTTTCGTCACTAAATCACCCTTTAACATTTCTGGAAATGTGGAATCAGCATGAATTGATGCTGCAAGCAGCCTATGAACCATTATGTCAGCATATCGTCGTATTGGAGATGTGAAATGCGTATAGATCGGTGCAGCAAGTCCAAAATGAAAATACTTCTCAGTTGGTAGGGAACCTGCAATATTCCATTACAGTTCCTTCTGTTGTTTCAAATTTTCAAATAAAAGTTAGACTTCCCAGATACATGTTCCAATAAATAGTGGCGCGCACCAGGGTAGCCGATGCAATCATGCGTTTTGTGCAATTTTTCGTCCACCGAACGATTGCCTGCTAATGATTTTCACTGCTCTGAATTTAAATATGAGGGGTTACACGTGGACAGGGAAAAGTCCCCCAAAATTTCAGCTTTCTAGCTCCCATGGTTCTCGAGATAATAGTTTATCCATAAAAAGTTTGGTGAGGCCACGCATGTTATCCACGGGTAGGGGAAGGATGAATCTAAATTTTCTGAATTGCACGTAAGCAGGGAACACATCCATAAAATTTCAGCTTTCTAGCTCCCATGGTTTCTGAAATAATTTTCCATGTCAAAACTTTTGCGGGCAGTACGTGTTACCTGCGGGTACGGGGAGGCTGAATTTAAATTTGCGGGGTCACATGCGAGAGGGGAACATTCCCCTAAATTTTCAGCTTTCTAGCTTTTGTGGTTCTCGAGTTGAAAGGTGCGGAAATGTTACTACAGACACACACGTACACAGACAACCCCGTGACAATATGCGTTTTGTACTGCTACATAGCACAAAACGCATAAAAATGGGAAAATCCTAGAGGCATTCGTACGAATCACATAAAAAAACTAGAAATATGAGAAACCTGATGAGAAATACACCGCTTGTGTCATGCAACGTGTTGTGAGCATTCTAAACAGGGTGTTCACCATTTCGTTCTTTGGATCAATGGCCATATCTAAGCTCTCCGACAAAGTTTTTCCACTTTCTACGTTCATTTTGAAACCTTTCGCTTTTGCCATCTGGAAAAAAAACAATTAAAAAAATCATGAAATTTCGAATTTTCACTACAAAAAAAATTCATGAAATTCTTCATCGAAAGAAAAAAGCCTTTTCAGACAGCCACGAAAGCTAATTTTATGAAAATTTCGAGAATCACCGGGCCCTCTCTGACGGAATATCACCTGAAAATGGTCAGTGTCATGCCTTATAAAAATAAGAAGATATATTAATAGGAAGGTATATTAAAAACGGACGGAAAGAGGTGAACAGAAAGGAAGAAGTAAGAGATGAGAATTACTAAAATTCGTAAATTAATAAAATCATTTTAATGGTAAGAAATATTTCGGTCCATTAAGTCGTATACATTTCTTGCCATTACCACAGTTGGACCACTACAAAAATTCTTGCCATTATAAAGTTAAAAATTAAGTTCTCTGAATAAATATGACCAAATAAATCTAATCTATTTGGAAGTAAGAGTAATTATTTGTTGCTCTTACTTCAACAACTGGTTTATAGTTTTCTTCTGGTGGGACCGGATGCCGACGTAGC